TATATATATATATATATATATATATATATATATATATATATATATATATATATATATATATATGTATATATATATATAATCTTTTACTCTGTAAATCTTAATAGTGCTTCGTCAAATTATAAACTATCACTAATCTTTAGTGCATGCAATATGTCCCCAATAATAAAGCAATCACATTTGTCAGGTTGAAGTGAGCAAAAGTAGTTTCTTATAGTACTACACTTTTTGCAGATACGAGTTTATGTACAAGACTTATGGGATAAGCGATCTGCGAAACTCAACAATTCATCTACTAAATTTTTGGGACAGGTATATCTTAATTATATTATTAAGTGAATAAAAAGAGCAATTTAAGGATGAGAAATTGTCTTAACTATACTTACTGACAAAAATTCCTCAACAATTACAACGATCATAATATGTAACATCGAATGATAAAGAGGTTAAGATTTTGCTTTTATCAATTCTTTACCGATTTCTGTTTTTATCAATCTAAGCTGATTTTTGCCGCTAAAACTTCATGCTTGAAAAGAATGAAAAGTATTACATTTTAGAACAATTTCCAACTTAAACTGTACAACAATAATAATAATATACAGTCATTTTTGCACATTTCGGATATATAAGCAGACAAGTCATTTCCGGATGTACCAACCAGGTATAATTGACGGAGCAAAAAAAAAATTGCGGGCGTCAATGAACACGTGCCGCTAATCCGCCTCTAGAGCATAACATGCTTTCAATAATACAAATGCATACCGACACTGTCGTATACTAACTCCCACGGCTCCTTATCCCTCTCCATCTCCTTTTAGTGGTCTCCTCTCCTTTTTCTTCTCTCAAGAAAGGTATTAACTGTATCTTCTATGACCGTCGGGCTTTGCCCACTTAAATCATAGCAACCATCTCTTGTAACTTTGAGTTTTATTACCTTATAACTCGACCTATATTACAGATATTTCTTCACTCACCCTCTCTATTATACACTCTCAGAGATTACTTATCCTGAGAGTCATTCCCGTAATATAGTAGCATAGGCACTGAGAGACTGAATGAACTTCATTTTGAAGGCGCAGCAATGATTAACTTGACTAAAAGGAGGAAAAATTATGAGACCATAGTTGAGACAAACAGCAGCAATCTTTTAAAATAGATGATGCAAGGAAAAGTTTTCTACAAGTTCTCATATAATTCATCTATTGTAGGTAAATTATGTTGTAAAATCACTTCTGCTCTATTTACAGGTGGAATCATGTCATGCAAGGATGGATAATATTACTTTAATGGAAGTGGCGTACATTAAGCGATCATTAATTATAGCTAGTCGTGAAATTGAGGCGCTTAACAAATCGTTCCATGAATTATCCAGTCAAAGCAGTAGTGATCAAAGATATCTAGTAGCTTGAAAAAAAAAAAAAACAAAAGAAAACTCTGTTATTCCTTTATGTGTACTTTACTGCTTTTTTATTGGATGATTGCAAAGGAAATAATATACGTGAGGAATGATCCTACAAGTTTTTTTCTATTCCAAAACCTTGTCCCCTACTTCTTTCCCTTCCGTTTTCATTCTTTGTGCAGCAGCAATGAAGAATAATTGTCGAAATAAAGTTACTATTCGAAGTTCAATTTGTCTCTAATAGGCTAAAAAAGCCATTTAAAAAGCTATTAATCCTGAAAGTATTTTCTCAACTTGACAGAAAATCATTTATAATTATCAATTGCAACATCTAAGTTACTTTTGTCTCTTCATACTTAATTTTCCTCCTTCGACAGTGTGCCAGCAAAAATGTCTGCAGTATTTCCATTAATGCGTCCACCCCAACAGGATTACCGGCCACTATTTTTAAGGCCGTAAACATTTGTTCTTCTGTACAACCCCTGAAATAGAAAGGTGACCAGAAATTTCAAAATCCTGTCATGCATAGTGTCATTTGTCATTCATAATATACTTTCCTGCAGACTTTAAAGTTTCCTGCAGACTTTTTACAACTATCGATAAGTCACTAAATCATTTATGAAAAGCGCGATTCGTATATGTTACTTCATTCTATTACAATTGTGGAGTACTTGAAAAATCTTATCAAATTTTCATTTATAAATGATGAAAATATCAGGATAATGTAAGTAACATAGTCCAAGACAGTCATTCCTACAACTCCCGCAGCATTCCTCACTGATATGATCCAAAAAAAAAAAAAACTAGACCGGAGTAGGCAGCTTATACAAGCATCTCTCAACACGTTACATGTATCACTTCCGGTAGAGAGCATAACTTCCAGATAATTCGGCAGCGTTTCACCATTGATCAAATTTCTAAGCGGACTTTCGTATGCTAATAATCTGGAGCTTATCCCTATGCAGAGGTAACGATCCGACAGCTGCAACATTTTCCATTCATAACCACCTGTTTATAAGAGAAAAATCTTATATAATTCAGAACCTACTTGCCCTTCAACTAAATTTGCTCAGGCAAATCGTCTTTTCTTGCTCAGATGTCTTTTTCTCATCCTCTGAATTCCCACAAATATAATATTAATTAAATCAAGGGGGGACTTTCGAAGTGCGAAAATGTTCTATGTTGGAACTGTTTGGTCATCACTAGGTAACTTCTAATAACGCATATCCAATACAGTTAAATATCCAATACAGTTAAACATAGGTCTAACTAACGTAGTTCATGCCGCCAATGGTTGATTCCAGCGAATGCACAAGATCAAGCTATCATGTTGAGATGAGAACATGATTTGGAAATAAACAACAGTCACTCACCTTCAGCAAGGCTGGTATATCATTTTCAGTTATTCTCACGCACGACTTGCCGCAGCCACTTAAATAATGCAAGAAAATGGAAAACAAGCGAAAAGAACATTGTTCTTCTTCTTCATCAAATTCAAATGTATCCCGGAATTGCTCTAGAAATCCACTTCCAAACATACCCTAGAAATTAACTCAAGTCACCAAAGACCAACTTCATCAAAGAAACAAATAATTCACATATGATGTCTCCAGGGTTAAAAGTAGTTTGTCGCTATAAAAATTGAAAACTTATCGCTGGTAGTGAAATGCACAATTCTTCTAAGCGAAACTGTTAGAATTGCTGGCTCTTTCTAAGAAGGAATCAGATATAAACAAGTGGAACACTAGAAAGTACCTACTGATATGGAAACGAAGGAAAAAAACGTATTTTTGAAGAGAAGTGCAAAATGTGGCCTGTTTAAATAATTAGTGTTTGCATTTAGCGCACTTGCCAAGTATTAAAAAATAATCAACTATGTTGAGTTGTCAAACTGTTCTAATACTTCGAAACAATATCTTATTTTGATGACGCTACTCTATAAGCTAAAAGTAATCAATCTTCTAGAAATGTGATACATTACTCTAAATTTTCTAAATTTATAATATATGCAGGTTTAGACATTAATGGAACTGAATCGTCATAAAGTGGCAAAAAATTTACCCGAAAATATTCACTCCCTTCACATAAGCATTTCTTTGGAACAACTTCCGTTAGCTTCCCACATTTAAATTTGATGGATTCCGGTGAACCGGAAGTTGTCGACATGGCCTTTCCTGACAATAAAATTGCTTCTTTCACGACACATTTACTAGGTGGCATATCCCTATTGATGTAGACAGAGATATCACCCCAGAGAGAGTGTAACGAATTCGATAGTATATCTGATGGAACCAAAAATGATAACGCGACCAGAATTTGACGAACTAACGTTGGCTGAAAAGACTAAATTTGGTCCAGAAAAAGAGATTTATTCATTAATTAATTAATTTTGCTCATCAAGGATCACCAAGACACTTTAACTATTCAGTATTACGATGGTAGACTCATATTTTGGACATGATCATGAATATTTCTGTCGAAAGAAGTTCACGATGTTAGCCGTCAATTCATTCTATTTGATCCATTAGTATACACTATCAAGACAGTAGTGATTAAGATTTTGTCTAAAAACCTTATTTTAATCCGACAATTATTCAGTGAAAAAAATATGTGTTGTGCAAATCAAGTTTCGTAATTTTCAAAAGCAACTGTCAATCCTGTCTATTATTACTGCAGCATTGGCAAAGTATGAGTTTACACTGAACATGGATCAAACAAACACACAGTAACGTTCATATGTGCTTTCAAGCATGACTTTAACCACATCTGATGAGTAAAAGTTTTATTTCTTGTACAAAGGATTTACCTGCTAAGTGGGAAAAAAAATTTGGAACCAAACATAACTTTTCTCGCTTCTGCTCTCAAAACATTTTGTTTAAAAACCTTATTTTCCTACCCTGCTAAATATCATATATTTTAGAGTGAAATAAATTTTAAAAAAAAGACGCACCCCTTCACAATATGTTGTTATTTGCCAGTTTTCTTCATAACTGCTATCAACTAACATTTCACGTAATTTTGCCAATAAACGCTCTACTGGATTATGGATCGCAAGCATGCGTTTCCAGTTGTCGACTCTTCTGAAAAGTGCTTGAAAATTGCGCACAGTGATGTGAGAAAAAAATCCACTTATTTCACAATTTCAATAACAAAAATAAGTATAGATTCAACTGAAGGCTCTTATTCGTAAGAGCAAACTTGATGAAAATATATATATATATATATATATATATATATATATATATATATATATATATATATATATATAA